TTAAATTAATCCCCGTTTTGATAAATTCTGCGTACAACTACGACTATAATGAAAAGAAGAATTCTTTAAATCCATTGCATATTCTTCATTTTATATCTCTATCTATAAAAGGCAGGATGTGTGTGTGTGTGTGTGTGTGTAACGAATGCACGGCCGCAATTTTCGACGGATTTGCACCAAAATTTACAGGCACATGCTCCAAGTTAGCGAAAAGGCCAAGACTGACTTTGCATTTCCCAACTCCCATCGATAGTGGAAATAATCGATTTTTTCATGCTTCTACGGCAGTTTTCATGTAGTTTGCGGCCATTTTATACTAACCAGAGTGAGAGCCAATAGCTGGCTGCCACGAATAGACAGGAGATTCAATTGCTCAGCGTGAGAGCCAACAGCTGACTGACACGAATGTTAACTAGTATGCAAAAAAAATCGATAGCTGCATTCGTCACAAGTGGGAAAAATTTAAATCTGCATGGCACTTTACTCCAATTGGCTCATTCGCTTGCTTAAACTCAACGTTGATTCTGATTCCGTAGAACTGGGTTGGGATGTGAAAAAGTATTTGTTGTTAACATTCTTTTTTCATTCGGTTTTTCCAGTTATGAGTCCTTTTTTAAAGCTGATCGTTTTGTGTTTATTTTGTTTAGTTCTTTTTTTGTATTGAATTTAAGCATTCTACTAGGCGGCCTCTCGTTCACACCCTTTTACTGTCGAAACTGTTAAATGTAGCCGTCTCATCTACTCCAATAGCTTCATGTCTCGCACCTCTCACGTGTGGAACTCCCTTCCCTATTCCAGTTTCCCTGAGAGCTATAATCTCCAACTATTCAAATGTAATGTCAGTCGACGTCTCCAGATGCCCTGATCTATCCCCCATCCTTCTCTTCATCCTTTCCTCTATCACTCCTATTTGTTCTCGCTCCAACGCTCTGTAACCCCTTGCGTGCTAGTAGCTTCACGCCTTGCTTGGGGTGAAACGTTTAAAAAAAAATGTCAATAATCATAATTCTTCCATGTTTTCTTTTCCTTTCTCACTTTTTTTTTCTTTGTCGTTAATTTTTTTTTCCATTTTTCTTTGTTCTTTTATTCTCCGTTAGATTTTTCTTTTTCTTTTTTAGCGTTTGTTCCTTGTATTCCTACTTCAATACTTTTTTTTCTGGTTTTCATTCATAAATTCAGTCTTTCTTTGTTTCTTTCTTTAAATTCTTTTCTTTCTTCTTTCTTTACATTCTTTCTTTCTATCGTTAAATTTTTTCTTTCTTTTTTTAAATTGTTTCCCTATTTCTTTCTTTAAATTCTTTCTTTCTTTCTTTAAATTATTTCTTCCTTTCATTAAATTATTTTTTTCTTGAAATTCTGTCTCTCTTGAAATTATTTCCTTCTTTCTTTCATTAAATTCTTTATTTCTTTAAACTAGTTCTTTATTACTTGAAATTCTTTCTTTCCTTCTTTCTCTTCTTCTTTCTTTAAATTATTTCTTCCTTTCATTAAATCATTTTTTTCTTGAAATTCTGTCTCTCTTGAAATTATTTCCTTCTTTCTTTCATTAAATTCTTTATTTCTTTAAACTAGTTCTTTATTACTTGAAATTCTTTCCTTCTTTCTCTTCTTCTTTCTTTAAATTATTTCTTTCTTTCTTTAAATTATTTCTTTCTTTAACTTCTTACTTCCTTTAACTTCTTTCTTTATTTAAATCTTTCTTCTTTAATTTCTTTCTGTCTTTTTTTTCAATTCTTTTCTCTTTCGTTTTTTTTTTTGTTTCTTGCTGTTATTTCACAATACCCGTATTTCCTCTCGATTTTTCACCGATGATTTTTTTTCATTCATTCCAGCTTCTCATTTCCCTCTTTTCTCGGTACTTAAATTTATTTCTCACACAGAACGAGCCATGTTGTATCATTCCGTTTTTTATCATAACATTTTTTGAGAAAAATTTCAGACACAAATACACAATTTTGTTTTCCCTACATTTCCCGATGGCCTAGGATTCCACGAAGTATTCCTCTAAAATAAAAAAAGCGTATTCATTATTACATACTTGTTAAAAAAAAAAAAAAACTTAATATATATCGGAAAATCTGTTTTTTAAATTCTGTTTGCTTCCTTAAAGATTTTAACACAAAATAACAAACATAAAAGGCTCACAATGATTATTTTGCCCGTTACCATATAACTGAAGTGTTTCCCAAAATCATATCGAAAGACGTTTATGGTTTATAAAGAAAGTATATATATATATATATATATATATATATATATATATATATATTCTTTCAAAATGCTTTCCACCTACTTTGAAAGTAACATTTCAAGAAAAATTCTTTTCCTTTTTTCATTGACGAGAGTCGGCTTTAAATAATATATAAAAATATATAGAACTCGAGTCTTATTCTTACGTAACCTCTACAGATCTAGACTTGCATATGCTTGTTATTCACGGTGTCCAATTCGTTTAGAAATGTCTAAACTATCAGCTATATATAACCGTTTTCTCAGATCAATGATCAAATGTGGCTTCGAATCAACTTCAAGAATTCTATCATTCTCCATAGCATATAGAGTGGCGCTACAGAATCGAAAACAGAAAGTTTGACCCAAAAAAAAAATCTCTTGAATACGCCCAACAACAGTTAAATTGGATGCTACATGTAAACTGAAGGATGATAGTGTTATAATCGAAATCTTGATTTTCCACACCACTTTGAACAAAAGGTTAGGAAAGAAATTCTCATTAATCCTACAAATCAGTTTCCTTAATATTCTACGTCTCTTCGCTTTATTTAAATGCTAAAAACAATCTTCAAATATGTTATAGTTAGCCAATACAATTTTATTATTCATAACTTAATTTTCCTCAGGTCTCTTTCTTAAAGCCAATTAATCTGAAGCAAATGATATATTTGGATAGCATAGGCTTTTCTAACCCACACTGGCTTTTTCTCAATAACTCGCTCTCTCAGACAGAGAGTGGACATGAAATCAAGGTTACATCGTAGCTGTCAGTTTTTATGCTGTAGGGTGATTTTCAGATTATATATATATATATATATATATATATATATATATATATATATATATATATATATACAGACACATAAGTTTTAATATATTTTCCATTTATAAGTTATTTTATACATATAATTTAATTAAGTAACTACACAATTTTTTTTTAAATTAAACGCTATTAATTGCATATAGTGGCCTAAATATTTGAAAAGCTTTTGGAAAATATGTGCTTTTTTTTGAGAGGAATCGTACCTTAATGAAGACCATCATTTGATCTGATGTGCTCTTTAATCATTCAACAACAAAAAAAGCATCTGTTTAGGGTTAAGTAATATATATATATATATATATATATATATATATATTATGAAGGGAGTTCAAGAATTATTTTAATATATTTTGCGTTTATACGTTATATTTATAGTTTCTTTGTGTCTGAATATTCAACAGCATTGTATCTACTAAAATGACGTATAAACGGAAAATATATTAAAATAATTGTTCAGACATAATCCATTTCATGATATATATATATATATATATATATATATATATATATATATATATATATATATATATATATAATGGACTCTACCGACGGTTTTCGACGTATGAGGATCTGACAACCCCATTGATTTAGTTATGAAATTTCGTGCGATAATCTTAAGTGACACGTAAGACCCGCTAGTGATTTACAAAGGAGGCCGCATATGGAGCAAGAGTGTGGATTGTGGGATGAGATCACTATTATATTGGCTGACCTTTTAGATCTTGCTCTCGCTTCTAGAAGTTGATTCAGACACGCAGATTGCAAACTGCTGTCCACTAAAACAGGTTGGTCTCCATTCTACCCGCTCGAAGTGTGTGTCTATATGTACATATATGTGTATATGTCTTAGAAGATTTCAGTTTTTTTTTACTGCAATCGAACCCTTTTTAAATTATAAAATAATGCAACTTAATTAATATTCTAAAATAGTCATTCAAAGAATAAATCACTAGCATTGCTCTAATTATTGAAAAAATAGTCCATGCCACGACAACGGAAAAAACACAATAATAGAAATTGTGAATTACTACATTACTACAATATTCATTACTACTAGCGTCGCATTACTGCACGTTAAAAAATTCTTAATTTGTAAGAGCACACTCTTTAATAAAACCTCTTTCGACAAGTATCACATTCATTTCCTTCTTGAAATTTTACCCGAAATTACTTGAAATTGAGAAAAAAAAATAACATCTATGCCTGAGGATGGTAAATGTTTTTACCGAAAGTACTTGCAAGCAGTATGGCCCAAACATCTAATCCATTGTACAATTAATAAAAACAAGGATTGTGTCGTTCAGCGAGTGGTCAGTGAGTTAATGCCTTCTTAATCTGTCAGCGAATTGAGATCGCTATTAATTACATTAAATTTATTGACTATTTTATAATATATATATATATATATATATATATATATATGTGTGTGTGATTTAAAAGGATGTAAGAAATAAACATTAGTGATGTCTAGATATGAAATATTCAAGCTTCTAAAAGTTATTCTCTCTCTCATGAATATATACATGCATACACATGCACACACACACACACACACACACACACACACATATATATATATATATATATATATATATATATATATATATATATATATTAATGACGTTTTTTTTTGCTTTCTAGTACGATTTGTGTCAGGTAACTGTCAAGTGAAAAAATATTCTGATATCCAAGAATTTTATATTGCTATAGTTTCATGCTTTATTCATTTGACAGCCAAAACCTTCAAACGATGGGGTTATTTCTGACAATAAGAAGCACACTATTTACAAATATGAAAATATTTTTTTTTATATATAATGATTGGATACGAACAACAATTGCGTTTACGTTAAAATACTGTTTCCCTCTGTAGAAGTGTATCCATGATCGAGATGATGCACACGGTGACTTGTTTAGAATCTGACATTACACCGAAACTCGGAACTCAATTCAAAGATACATATGGTTTTTTTAAGGAGTTCGACGTAGAGTTATGAAGAGACAAAGATAGATAGATAGATAGATAGATAGATAGATAGATAGATAGATAGATAGATAGAACAGACTGCGATAGATATGAACAGAATGAGATAGATAGATAGGAAAAGAGATAGATAGATTGATAGATAGATAGATATGAACAGACTATGATTGATAGATAGATAGATAGATATGAACAAACTACGATTGATAGATAGATAGATATGAACAGACTATGATTGATAGATAGATAGATAGATATGAACAGACTATGATGGATATGAACAGACTACGATAGATATGAACAGACTATGATAGATACATAGATATGAACAGACTATGAGATATATATATATATATATATATATATATATATAGATAGATATGAATAGACTATGATAGATAGATATGAACAGACTATGATATATATATATATATATATATATATATATATATATATATATATATATATATATATAGAGAGAAAAAGATAGATATGAACAGACTATGATAGATAGATATGAACAGACTATGATATGTATATATATATATATATATATATGTGTATGTATATATATATATATATATAGAGAGAGAGAGAGAGATAGATATGAACAGACTATGATAGATAGACAGATAGAGATAGACAGATAGATATGAACAGACTATGATAGATAAATAGATAGATAGATATATAGATAGATATGAACAGAATCAGATAGATATATGATGATGATATAGATGGCAAAAGACTGAGATGAAAATTAAATGGAATCGGAAAACCGGTTTCGAATTTCACCTGAAGCGGTTTGTTTTCACACAGCTTTAATACACTTTGTAGAATGTCGGAATCAATAGCACTACTCTTTGTGCCATCACTTGATATCCTGACTAAAATGCCTGATGTCTGGTATAACACTCTATCTATGACAGCGGGCGCGAGTGCACATTTGGGATACCGACCTCCTAATGCTACTTATTCCGCCGCTGCGGCATTCACACCTAAAGGCTGCAACAGCCAACCCCCGCTTTGTCAACCGTGACAACCGCCTATGATTTCAAACATTAAAGTGCACGAAACTACTGACACCTGAGAGCAAAGAAGGAATGTTAATACCTAGTCTTCGTAAACCTGCATTCGTAATCAACTGAACTATACACGACTACAGGTAGAGGGTAAAAGTATTTGATAACCACCATCACAAACACATCTCACACACACACACACACACACACATATATATATATATATATATATATATATATATATTTCAACAAGAGAATTCTGAGACCAAGGAATCTGCCACCATCTATTTTAAAAACAACTTGAAATAGGTCGTTTTACCAATACAAGGACTGAACAAAATTAACGATAAAAAACAAAACAGCAACAAAAAAAACAAAAAAAAACAAATGAAAATTACAAATAAAGTTAACTTTCTTCAGCGACTGTCAATCAGTCCTGTAGTTCACTGCTACTAAGAAGCAGTGATTTTTTTTATCCTGATGATAGCCATGTTGGCAAAAAGTATTCGAAGAAACTAATTGAAATAATAAAATCAAAAAATATATTAATATGCAATCCAGAGTCTCTGAATCTTTTAATATTTTTTAATTGTTAAAAACATGATATATATATGAATATATATATATATGTATATGAATATATATATATATGTATATGAATATATATATATATATATATATATATATGAATATATATATGTATATGAATATATATATATATATGAATATATATATATATATATAATATATATATATATATATATATATGAATATATATGAATATATATATATATATATATATATATATATATATATATATATATATATAAAAAGGCCAAAACTCAAAGGCGACAGGCTGTTTCATGCTGGATGCAATCGTGCGGCATGACGATTCGTCCAGCATAAAAGAGTCTGTCGCCTCTGAGTGTTGACTTGAATGTACACTTTTATATTTATATTTACATACGCTCTATCTCTGATATTGGGCACTTTATCCCATAAATATAGCACTCCTTCAAACTATATTTCTTCATATATATATATACATATATGCATATATATATGAATAAATATATATATATATCTGTGAATAAATATATGCATATATAATGAATATATATATATATATATATATATATATATATATGTATGAATAAATATATGCATATATGAATAAATATATATATAAATATATATATATATATATATATATATATATATATATATATATATATATATATATATATATATATATATATATATATATATATATATATAATCAGATAAAACAACATTTCTCCTCTGGTTCCATGTCTAAGTTAAGTCTGTTACCTGTTTTGTTTTTCTTTTTTTTTTTTTTTTACTGGATACTAACATCTTTACTAAATCTGTTTTTTACGGCTCCTCAACCTTTTGAATGTTATCTAAAAACGGGTAATATTTTTTTTTTTAGTTTGTAAGAACTGTTTGAGAAGGTAATAATGATTTACTGGTCCAAGACCTATTAAGTATCCCATAGCTGGGAAGAAGACGGTGTGAATTCATACTTATCCCAAAGGCATTTTGGCATAAGTAACTATAACGAACCCGACTGGAACTCAACCTCAGATCTCCGATTTCCAGTTCCGAGCCGTTGTCCATTTTACTCCCACACATAGAAACTTACAGCAACTGGTAGTCTCAAACGCTCACCCGTCTAGTTACTGACCAGTCTCACCCTGATACTAGCGATTAGTCATTCCTCTTTTGCCTTTCTCAAATCTTACTTATTATAAAACGCAGGTTTTGTGTGTGTGTGTGTGTGTGTGTGTGTGTGTGTGTGTGTGTTTGTACGTTTATATATTGGATCGGATTTCCTACATTTTTCAACCGATTTCAACAAAACTTCACAGGACTGCGTAAAATTACCTAAAACAATCCTAAGTTCTGATAGCGCCAAAAATTGGAAAAACACAATTGTTTTTCCACGAAATCAATTTGAAAACACGATTAAGAGGCATTAATGAAAGGGGGATAACTCATATCGAGTTATACTTATTAATATAGAGTTATCGATTTATACTTATTATAAAACCCAGTTTGGTTGTTTGTGTGTGTTCGTTTATATATGGGATCGGATTTCCTACATTTTTCAACCGATTTCAAAAAAACTTCACTTTTTTTTTAGGTAGTGTTTCTTATTGTCTTGCACACTTTTTTTCTTTACTTTTACATTCAGAATACTTTAAAAATTCCATTTACAAGACAATTGTTTATAATAAAATTCTATTCAATCGATAGACTCATAACGATTGAAAACAATGTTGTTTTTTTTTTTGAGTTTTCAATTGACCAATTCGTAAAAAACAAAAATAAAACTAAGACATGCGTGTCTGTCAACCTTAAACAATAATCTTTGTCAATTTTATTTTTCAGTCTTTATGATGGTCGATACTTGATCTATCTCTTACTGTTACATCCCCGGGCAACGCCAGGCTCTACTGCTAGTATCATATAAGTCATCACATTCCAAAAATTACCAAAATACATCAAACACGATTTTCACACAAGCATCCTTAAATATACAATGTAATGTCTTAAATGCTTACATCAGGAAAATTATTTATATTTTTCAAAATGTTGCCTCATCTTTATTGTCATATACCTGACGTTTCAGCCGTTGTACGTTCCGGTCTTCTTCAGGTGATTGTAATTTCGAACTGAACCTTTTATTTCGTCCACCGGTGTAGATTGTTCTTGTTCCATGTGCCATTTCTCTTCCTTGAGGACATTGCCCAGTGGATAAAAGCGTTGGTTGTATCTACTGACTTGACCCAACGAATTCTGAGTTCAGTGCCTGGCTACTGTAGTGGTGGACAAAACTTGGAGAGTTGGGTTAAAGGGAGATAACCGAGACACCCGCAAGAGGCCTAGCACGTTAAACTAGAACAATCGGTGGACGAAATAAAGGTTTCAATTCGAAATTCCACTATCCTGAAGAACGCCAGAGCGTACAAAGGCCGAAACGTCGTGAATATGGCAATAAAAATGAGGACAACAGTCCGAACAATTTAAATAATGGAAATATAGAAAGATATCGGGAAATTTCTTTATTATTTTCCTATTTTCCAATTTCATGACTGTTTTCTCTTTATTAAAATTTAAAGTGAGCCCAGAATTTTAGTTACTCTGCATGTATGAGATACACTGAGATAGAAAGTCGCGCAGGTTCAACGTGATTTGGAATTTTGTCAGGAAGAGGAGGGTATTTTTTTTTATATAATAAGCAAATTTTCACGGAAGATGGGCTTGGCAACTCTGATACTCACAAGACATATTGAGAGAAAAAGGGACTGGGAAAAACAGCGCATAACATACTTGATGAGCTTGTGTAAATGGATGGAACAGGGTTTTGGAGAAATACTAAAAAGTCACTATCTAATTATTAGCTACAAAAGACATGAAGTTGTTGGAAAGGACATAATGTCCTACGCCCTGAAATGACACGGCACATAAAGAAGAACTTGAAATCATACAATTATGAAAGACGTTGACCCATTTTTCTCTGCGTTTAGTTCTGTCGCCACTTATGTCTTTTAATTGATTCTTCATATTTATCCAATTTGTGTGATAAGAGCATTTACAAATTCCAAGGAAATAAGACTTTCTGAATAGTTGCACAAAATATTTCTCAAATTGAAAACAACTTTCTCGGTATATATGCAGCGAACTTGAATAATGAGGATTGTTATTAGAGATAATAAGGCTACATCTAGCGCTTATTAAAATCGATAAGATTCTAGTTATTTAAGGGAACATTTAAGTAAGAAAACTGGAGACAGACGCGGTTAAATTTCGCTCATTCACAGATATAAAAAAAAACAAAAAAAAACGCCATCTTCCAGGATGAGTTGACTGTGTTCTTGAAACAGGCGCCAGTGTCTCTGGCTTGAGTTAAGGTAAAATTAAATTTTCAAATACTGATTTACAAGTAGTTGGGTTCTCTCCAGAAACTTGCCATTTTCATTTTATCTCAATTAGCCACTAAACCATTCTTAGTAAATAGACATTGCAGTCAAATGTTGTTGTTTTTTAAACTGTATTTTTGCAAGATTTTGTTTATTTTCGAGTATTTTCTTCATTAGACAACTAAGGTAGACATTTCTTTGAAGGAGGCCGATGCGTCGTTTCGCAATTTGTATTAAAAATAAATGTAAGCTTCTGGCATGTTTGTAGAGATTAGGCTATGTCAAGATAATTTATTTAACGACAGACCAACCCACATTTGCACTATTTATTGTCAAATAGGACAAAAATCACTTAATATCTTATAGGACCAAAGGAAAACGGATGAATATGTAGGTAGTTAGGTTTAGACATCACAATGAATTAATATATAGGTCCTTTTTTCACTTTAGTAGAATAGACATAAATAGATGGAGACGAGACAATGTGGACAAGCTATAAACGACGCCTTTCACCCGATTTCTGTTGATTTCGGATTTTTCAGGTGATAATAAAATACAAAACTGTATCTTATGAAAATGTGCTGTGAGATCTGATAAGGGATATTATAAATTAAATCATATTCAATCACCAGAAACTACAGTCTATTATATATATATATATATATATATATATATATATATATATATATATATATATAATATGTGTGTGTGTATTATAATTGTTTTTTTAAATATATTACCATCGCAACACAGTAATTCCCATGTTTCAAAACTGAAATTTTAAATTTTCTCATAAAAATTAAACTTAAAATACAATACAGTTCCGTTCCGTTATTAAAGCGATGCTAAGAATAACTATTTAGAAATTGATTTACTTAATCTATGAGTCCAGATTAAACTTGATATTTTGAGATGTTTGAGTTAAGAAAAATTCAATTATTTTATTTTATTTTAGGGGTGTTAAGATTTAACTTATTTAGAAAACTCTTGTATCTAATGTATTGTAGCTATCAAGCTGGTCAAGTCATGATGGAAGCTGGGGTAGCTGTCTATTGACACAAACTTCCTTTTTTCAAGTAGAACTTTGTGGTATTGTCTATGTTCCAACATATCGTCGCGGTTTCAATAGCAATACATTTGGCATTTTAATTTTTAATTTTTTTTTATTTAATTTTTATTTGTATATAAATTTCAATTACGATTTTTTCAAAAAGTGCGTTCAATTATTATTTTGTTATATTTTTAATACTTATATTTTTATTCGTACCGACTTAACATATTATATTTGTTTACTAATCGAGTACATATATAGTAATGTTAAAATGAATATATTAGAATCTATTTATGTAGTCATAAATTATTTTATCCATGATCAAATCTAAACATTTTATAAAATTAGCTACCAATTAAAGAAAAAAATTTGCAATATCTACAAAAAAACGCTATTTCATTTCTTAATAAATAGTTTAATTTTCATAAATTTAATTATATATATATATATATATATATATATATATATATATATTGTCATCCACAGACAGACTGTTTTCGCTGTATCACAGCTCATCAGTGTGGCTAGACATCCGGTTGCCCTAAGCTATGATCGAAACCCGATTGAATTGGCGTCAGTCGGGGATTCTACCACTAAGTCGTTGGCGCACGGCAGGGATGATGGTGAATTTTAAGTGTATTTATTTTTAGATAAACACCCAGTGACTGAGAGAACTCAATTCCATTTAGCAAAGTGTCTTGCATTATTAGCCGTAATAGTCACTGTTTACAAACTCACACTTCCTCCCCAGAGAGCTCAACCGAAATGTGTGTGTGTGTGTGCGTGCGTGTGTGTGTGTGTGTGTAGGCAGCAAATTTTTTAGGCACGTCAGATTAAACAAATTACAAACATTATGTCTGTTTTTTTTAGCATAATCCTTTCATATTCACGAATATATGTCCGTGCATTTCTTGCCTTAATTGATTGTAATACACAGAAATATATTTGTGAATATAAAAGGAGTATGCTAATAATAAATATACATAATGTTTGTAATTTATTCAATCACACACGCATATAACGCCCACATACACACAAACACACACACATATATATATATATATATATATATATATATATATATATATATATATATATATATATATATGTCCGATTCCTCAGTCCAAGCCACTATCCATTACTCCACCGTACCAAGTTCGAATTCCAGTCGAATCCATTACGTTCACTTACGTGCTAAATACCCTTGGGTAAGGTGTGAATCCTCTTCCTCTCCCTCCAGCTATTGGTAAATAACAGGCCAGACCGGGTTCTATAGCCTTGGATGGCGACTGGTCTAGGAGAAGGACAACTCTGAATTCAAAACCTGCGGAGGGTCGTTTGGGGACCTTGTGGCACGTAGTGCACCAGGTCTCTGAATTCGGCCCTTCAAAAAGTGTGGCTGGTCCTGCACGAAACCTTCACCACTATAATGAAATCTCATGTGCCGTTGTCGGGCTGTCGGTTTCCTGGGAACTGATCTGCTTGACCCTCATACGTCGAATTCGACGAGAGAGTCGACTATATATATATATATATATATATAATATATATATATATATTATTTTCTTTTCTGTGCATAATGCGTGTGAAAATTGTTGGAATGCTTTTTATTTATGTCCCAGCGCTTTCAGTTATTCCTTTAGTCATTATCAAAGACAAAGCGTTTAAGATGCAAATGGCTACAAAGCCGGCATGAAAGTTTGCAATTAATTTAGCACAAATCACCGATTTGTAATCGTCATTTCTTACTAACCGATTGTACAATGATGCAAATATTCTTTTGAAAGAAGTGTCTTATTTCAAGTTTGAACAAATAACACTGAAATCATTTTCAGCAAAACTGTCTCTAATGGCACACTCTGAAAAATTACATGTCTTAAATATTACCACGTACATAGGCTTTGCCCTTAATGAGATATAAATACGAGATCCCGACTTTACAAATAAAATGGATATCACCCGATGCCGATAATTTTTGACAATTTCACCATCCACTTGTAGTAATGGGTAAGATAATGGGCACATCGCTGATGCCCGTAGCTATGCCAGTTGATACTCGAATATTTATGGGTTTTTTTCTTTTTCTTTTTTTTTCTTTTTTTTCTTTTTTTTTTTTTTTGAGAGGAGAGAAATAAAATTTTGCTTGATGCTGAAAAGTTCACTTGCATTGAAATAAGCTAAAATAGATATGGACGGCATCCTATTGACGTCGGTTATATTCGACTCATTTCAACATTTGAGCATATAAAGCCCGTTCTGATTCCCCCAGATGGTTAACCCTTTGAAAAGAATTCAATAGAAAGCAATTAAAAAGAATCATCGTGTCCTAGCTGGCAGCAGGCCCATGCCTAACAGAATACATCTTGCTATTTGTCATGTTTCTATCCACTTCATACTCAGTCCGACGATTCCGGTCTTCTTCTCCTTGCCCTTTTTTTTTTCTTTTCAGCCAAACCCTGTTGAGATGGTGATTTAGTGATAGCTGTCTAGGCTGAAAAAGACTGTGTGGCGCCAATCGAAAACAAACAAACAAAAGCCAGAAATTATTTTCTTTTATTTTCGCTTCTATTTTACATGAAATATTTCATAACTATTTTATTTTAAAAAAAAAGAAGAAAGAAACATAGTTATGGGAAACTGTATCGAAAAATAAAAGTATAATTTATGCAAAATTAAGCAGCGATTTAAGAATAAATTTGTACTGATTATTAGAAAGGAAGATGTGTTGATAGCGTAACGGCTATTTGCATAAAAAGGGGTATCGATGTACCGTGTTAACATTCTGCCCACGTCTCTTGCCTCCATATCGCAATAATACATTTGGAAAAAAATCGCAAATCGATCTTCGGTTTTAATAAATGGGCAGACCACGCTGCTGTGCCTTGAGTATCAGCCAGTCTAACAGAATAAAGAAAAATCCCTAAATTCAAACCGCCGTAAATAGCAGAGTAGATTCTGCTATTTAGCCTTGATTGACAGCCAGTTTAATGGAAAGATAAAGCTCAACAGGAACTTTAGATGAATAATTGTTGCATAAGAGTAAGTGTCGTTGCCGACACTGGTTTGAAACTAGATCGCCAGTGAGCAACACGGGCGATTCCATTATTAAGCAGATCACGTGAGCATAAAGGAAGTGAATAAATACGAAGTAGCGTTAGGTCCACTCTTCTTGTCTATCCACTATTACTATACAGTCATTCTCTTTACTCTACTACTATACGGATTACGATTCTCTTTTGATGATTATTCTATTTGGCGATTACTACTTGAACAAGTATTACTAGTGCGGATATTATTGGAAGGTGTTACTATTAGTACCGGCGTCTACGAAGTATCGATTATAACGAGCATTTTTGGAAGTGATAACGACCTTTCGCTTGACATAGCAAAAGTGACAAGCGAAGCCGTCAAATATCACAAAAATAATACAGCAGACGGTTCTATTTTAGTCTTGATGAGCCAAGAGAATTAAAAGGCTCTCTTTTACAATCCCCGAACAGATGAAGAGAGAACTGGAGGCAGTGGAAATGTCATTCTACGGAAGGATAATGAGAATTGCCTGATGTTAGCCAGTAAGCAACGTGGAAGTCTTAAAGAAAGCGGTTTCACAAAGAACGCATATTCAGTTTCTTGGATACATAATGAGGAAGGAGGGCTTGGAGAATTTTCACTCACGGTGTATATCGAGAGTCAGAGAAATAGCGGAAGGCGGCCAGCTACCTACATACCTACCTGGCGAGATTGTGTGAATGTACCGCGGAATGAGTGGCAGAGAAACATAATAAAGGAAGAAACACTGGTATGACAGCGTTGGTAGGAAAAGTGCGTTAATGAGATTTGCCTTGGTGATCAAGGAAATGCGCGGATGTTTTAGAAAAGGGGCAAGTCTGTAACTGACTGCTTTAGCCTTCTGACATTTAGAAACACGAAAAATCGTCAGTAGAAAAGAAAATACTTGAAGTTAACCTACTTGCTCTGGAAACGCTATTTATGTGTAGAATTGGTTACGTCTTGTCTAATTTATCGTTCAATGAGATGCAGGTGCTCGATTGAGATAAAGGAAGAAGAAGACGTAGCTGAGTTTTTTTCAAAATATTGTTTTTAACACAGTATTTATATTCAGTAATCCATGTGTATTACTCAGGTTTGTTTGCAATATCTGTAGCTTTCCATTAAAAATCGTCATCGTGTGTCTATTTGTTTTAGATGTTTCTTCCGCTCGTGCTGTTAGGCGTCACGGGGAGACACAGTCATCTGTCAGCGGCAGGAAGAGTGGCCTGGATGAGAGACATCTCGTGGGCTGTGAGAGTGTCTGCCACTGAGTCGCTCCAGCGTCTTCTTGGTTTGCCTCTCGCTCTCTAGCAAGAGTACTTGTGGGTGTATGCTCGTAGAACTGGTTGGTTGATAGGCATACAAATGAGGTGTCGGAACCACTTGATCCTCTGTCGTTCGATGTGTTGTATAATTGGTATTGCTCCTACTATATCTCTTATTGCCTCATTCCTGATTTTGTCTTGCTTGGTCTTGTTCACTCCTTTCCTCAGGCATTTCATCTCGCAAGTGATCAGCTTCTTCTCAAGGGTTTTTGTTAGGGGCCATGTCTGGCACTGGTATGTGAACGTTGGTAGGAAAATGGCGTTGGTGAAATTTGCCTTGGTGCTCATGGAAATTCTAGGAGGTTTTAGAAAAGGGGAAAGTTGGTAACTAACTGCATTAGCTTTCTGACATGTTTCTTTTTAGAAACATGAAAAATCGTCAGTAGCAAAGAAAATAATCAGAGTTAACTCACTTGCTCTGGAAACGTCATTGTCTGTTATAAACTGTTCGAATACATTTAACATGCTAGAAATTAATGGAATGATTCCTTTTCTACGGATTAGCAAGTCATTAGCTTATTTAAAATCAGAAAATTTTTTAGATAGTAAGTTTTTTTTTTATTGAGGTAGTAAAGGTTTATTGATACAATTCCTACTAATTAACCCATAGTTGGGAGGGGAAGAGTTTCATTCTTACTTTTCCTAAGAATATTTGCGCCTATGTGAATATAACGAATCCACTGGGAAATAAAACTCGTCTCTCTGATTAAAATTTCCGAACCATATTATATTACACCACTCGCACGTCCAAGTGCTCGCCTATCTACGTACTGACCAGGATCGACGTTGCTTAACTTCAGTGATCGTACGGAAACCGGGGTTTCAACGTCATGTGGCAGTAACCCTCGATACCGGAACATGAAAAGACTGACCTCCATGATGGGGCAGTGTACAACAATAAAGGAGAAAAATATATTTAAAACCCAAATTTGAAAATATTCTAATAGTCTAAAAGACTTTAAAAAAAGGTCATCATTTTTAACAAACTAATACATCTTAGTTGGCTGTCGAGAAGGGCCATCACTCGACACTAATCAAAACACTTTTAATGGTGTTGCGATCGAATATGCCGCCTTTTATTTTACCAAGCCAATGACTCACTTCATATGCTAGTGAATTAATGAGAAACACAGTTACATCGTCTCAAACAAGTTCCACTCGATACCGTTGTTACGAAAACTCAGCTAATATGGTACAAGAGAATAAATACAAATTTTAGCTCAGGAAGAAGAAGCTCAAGTGGAACTTACATCTCCCCAATTTAAAATACGAGGTAGAATATTTTCAAAACATATTTAATAAAACATAGATTCAGCTTGTATAATGGCTGATAGTTTCCAAGTAGATTTATGATCTGTGAACAGCTGTAGAGAAAAACATTAAAGAAACGATGAAAAGATCTTGGTTAAAATCAAACAAGGAGAGGCACTGGATCACACTGGATGTGTAGAATTGGTTATATTTCTTGTCTAATTTATCGTTCAAGGAGATGCAGGTGCTTGATTGAGATAAATTTACATCTTAACTGTAGGTTATTAGGTGCTCAGAAGCAGGATCAGATGGTCACGTTGAATGATTTCCAGTCATATTAAGATTTTTTTTCTTGTAAGAGGATGCAGCGTTTCTCAGCTGTGTTGTTTGAAACAAACTCACACATGTTTTAATATTATTGTAAAAACAGGAGAAAGTGTTTGTTTTTTTCGAGAAATTTGATGAAGACTTTTATTGAAACTACAGACATATTTACGAAACTTAAAAAAATGCTTCTCAAAACGGAGACACTTGACTTCAAGTAAAAGAATTTTGATCATAAGGTAAGAATTTTTAGATCTTTAAAGGAAATTCAGATATTTCTACGAGCCATAACTTTACTGGTAAGAAACAGACAAAGAAAAGAAAACATACATACACAAAATAGAAAATAAGAACACTTGTCATTTCTCGGTGACAAATTGGGTACCTGTGTTAAATTCATTGCTAACTTCCTGGCTGGTTTAGTTTAAAATATACCGAAAATATCACCCGCAGAATAGCTAAAAATATCTTTCTCAAAAGAAGGGACCACCTTTAGGAGAAATGATTGCAGACGAGGTTATGTCTACATTTTCGATTCAAGCATTCGCCGAATAGATTTTTATTTGCTCAAACGTAAACCGGACCTATTTCTGACGTTTTTCATGTGGTACAAAGCCAAAACAATGTCTAACTTTTGATCCAAGTATAAAGTAGCTTTGTTCATCTTTTTGACTCAAATGTAATCTGAACGTTTCTCTATTCGTGTGAGTCAAGTATAGTTCGGATTGATGTCTACCTTTTATATATATATATATATATATGATTATTTATTTAAAAATATATCAAAATAATGGATAGACACATAATCCAAACTAATCTCTACTTCATTAAATCTAGTGTCACTGTCACTATTGACATTGTCTTATTAGTAAGTCTGATCAGTTTTATACGATGAAATAGGCAGCTGATCTTAAAAATAACTTCCAATTTATTATTAACTGGGGCGAAAATGGCTCGTTATTCTTAACGTCTCCAAACCTTTACTCTTTTAATCTTCTGGAAGAATTTTTTACCTTCCATCAGCATGGCTGATGCTAACCTTCAGGAGACTGACTCATTGCACCTTTCCGTTGA